GGAGGGCGGGGCAGTCACCACCGGGAGGCCGGCCGGCGGGGTCGCGCGGGGCAAGCCGTGTTGGTGTAGAGAAGAGGTTCCGTAAAGCCATGAGGCAGGCGTGCGGAGCCGTCCGCAGGCAGTGTTCATTGTTCCTCACGATGACGTCAAAAGCCGTCGATCTGAAGGGCGTCTAAATCACCCGGTGCTGCTCTCCCGGGTTGCAGGCGGATAGATGGCCACCGGCCCCAGTCACACCTGCGGTGAGACACCTCCCCTCTCCCTCTCGATGGGCATGCGAGTGAGTGCGTGATGTTGATGCGATGCTGAGTTATTCGCGGCAGTGATCCGAGCCGCGACGTGCTGCCGGGCTGCACGGATAGCCGCTGGGAGGTGTGTGCAGTGCAACTTCGCGTGGGCAGGGACGTTACCAGTCAGTAAAAAAATAAATAAAGAATACATTCGATGTAAAGAAAACTAAAAGAGTCGATTCAAGTAAAACATGAGAGAGTGGTGCCCTATGGGGAGAACGTTTTACTGACCATGAACTCCGCTTTTCTATCTGGGAAACCAACGGGTTCAGAAATTTTTCATTTAACCCAGTTCAGCGTTCAAATCATCAGATTTCAGAGTGTTTATATAGAACGATATTTTCGCTGACATCTTCAATTAAAACCTTGTTAAAACTACGCTCTCCCGAGCCACTCAAAGCGCTCCTTCGGGGATCGGCGAAGACGACGGCCGCCCTGACTGCCAGCTGGTCTGGCCGGGGTCGCCAGCTGGTCTGGCCGGTTTCACTCTTTCGGACTCGTAGCGCCGTTGTGTGCATAGGCCAAATGAGTTCATATTTGGTACTGGAGGATTGTCCAAAACATCAATGTAATTTCCGGTGACAAATTTTACGCACTGACTCATCGTGGTGGCATTACTAGAGACCTTGACACCCCGTGATCCCCCAACAACGCTCCCGGAAGTTCAAATCAGTGCCCTTGAAACTCCTTTGGTACGAAATTTAGACCGATTCGGTCCCCTGACAGCCAGGGGCCAGGGGCGCAGCTACCCCTCAATGCGCGTTTTGGGTGCCCGCGTGGAAAGGTCTGCGCGAAAACTGTAGTTAAAACTGTAGATATTTGGGAATTGCAGTTCAAAGCTAGTTTAACTGCAGTTTATCATAGATCGAATAGTTCGCATAGTTTTGATCGTAGGTATTGTCGGGCGGAAAAGATAATTCGATAGAAAATCACTTCAGAATCCGACGAGAGAAACGATAGTTGAAAACTGTTTAAGTTTCCAGCGTCCCATGTACAAAATCGAGGTTAGACCGAGGGGGAAACGACTGTTCAACTTTGTGTCAGCCGGATTACGGATTACCCGGATTACCTACGGAGTGTCCTCCGGATTACGTTGCCTTTTCTCTAGGATTACCCCGGATTACCCCCAAAATTTTCCCGGATTCCCACGGATTTTTTAGAATTTCCTCGGATTACCCCTGCCGGATTACCTTTCGGCTGTCAGCCGGATTACCTTAGTCGTTTCCCCCTCGGGTTAGACACTTTAAACCTTCTTCTCAATGGCGCCCTTCTCTCATTGAACAGAGCGAGACGAGGAAAATAGCGAGGGATACGGGTACGACGTCCTGGCTCACGGCCCGAGTTTGCACCCTACTCCTTCCGTCGATGGCATGGAAATAATAAAACTGATGTTCTACTACCTGCTCGTCTTGAGATCGACACTAACGCCGCCGTTGGGCAGCCGCAGCAGCCGCGGCTCTTAGGCTGTTGGTTTTCTCTGTTTTTGCGTCGAGCAATTTGCCGCTGCTGAATGTGGACAACTTGTTGCAGTCACCGGGCTGGCGCCGTGCCCCAGCGGCGCGCCGCCCGCCAGGGAGTGCCTCGTCAGCGTGCTGGTGGACCTGCGAGCGCTGCGCGCCAGAGGTGAGCTCCCGCGAGGACCGCGACGAGGAAGGGGAGCCTCTGCCCGCCGCCGTCACCGACGGCCTTTGTGGTGGCGGCCAGCGGCCAGCGGCGGCAAGCGGCGGCCAGCTGCGAGTTGGACTCGACTGACTCAGCCATGCGGTCCAGAGGCCCGCAGAGCGGGCGCGGGCGGTTCCGCGTTCCTCTCCCGGGCCAGGAGCATGATGAGGGTCTCGTGCTTACAGCTCGCGAGCGTGCAGAGCGGAACAACTCGACGCTCCCGCCGCAGGACACGCAGGTGGCCCTGTCGCCCAAGCAGGACCCTTCGCAGGAGCATCAGGAGCCGGAGGAGCCGCAGGAGCCGCAGGAGCCGCAGGAGCCGCAGGAGCCGCAGGAGCCCGCCCAGGACCTACCGCAGCAGGCCATCGACATAGACCTGCGGCAGGAGCAGGAGCAGCAGCAGCGGCGGCAGCAGCAGCTGGAGCAGGCAGTACGCTACCAGGAGGACGAGCTTCAGCAGCTGCGCGAGCAGGTAGGTGAAGGCGCCGCCCTGGCTGGCCGCACATCGGGCGTGCGGGCGCGACGTGCTGCCTACCCAGCGGGCCGCGGGCGCTTCACTGCTCTCTGTCCCGCAGGTGCAGGAGCTGCGCCAGCAGCTGGCGCGGGCGCTGCAGCTGTACCAGCCTGAAGTCCTGGCCGGCCGGCCGCCCCCAGCGCCCCCGGCGCCGCTGCAGTACCAGGCGGCCGTCAAGTCGCTGCCCCTGCAGCTGCGCGGCAGGCCCGGGGGCGGGCCGGGGGCCGGCTTCTACCAACAGGCCACCGCCTCGCCCCGGCCTGTCGCCCGGCCTGTCCCCGACCTCCACGCCGGCTTCACGGGCTACGGCCCCGCACACGATGGGGCGACCCGCCGCTTCTACCGGACTCTGCCGGCCCCCGCCCCCGCCGCCGCACGTGCCAACACATCGCCCGTCTTTGGCCAGAGGCTCCGATATGGTAAGTAGTTGTCGATTGGAAAGCTATTGAGCGCCCCTTCGTGTCTCTTTGGTCCCTCTCACGCCGACGTCCTCCGTCTCTGTTGCAGTGGGTCTCCGTGAGTTAGCGCGGGGCGACGCCGTGGTGGCGACGTGAGGATGGTCCTTCTGGATGGCGCCGCCGTCCCTCCCTGCTAGGCCCAGGGGTCACGCCCCAAGTGCTGCAGTCCCGGCCCTGGCCCCTGGCCCCTGGCCCCTGGCCCCTGGCCTCCCTGGACCTGGTGTGGGGGGAAATGGTGTTGGTGGGGTTGGGAAGGGTGGTGTTGGCGACATAATGTGAAGGGTTTCAGAGAGAGTTATGAATGACATAGGGCATCAAGCTTGAAATCCAAATACACAGTTCAAGTTTTTAAAATTGAATATTTATCTTTACAAATGGCAGACATGCAATTTCTCAAATCACAATCAGCTGGTACATCATTTTGTTCAATATTTTGATTCATAACGCCATGATGTACTATATGCTCTCTATATATACAACCGCTGACAAATTGGGTATGCCTTGACCACAATGCAATGATTACCTAAAAAACTATTATGAATCTACTTGGTGTACTATAATGAAAATGAATTTCTTAAAACCAATACATTATCTAACTTGCTGTATTGTTTAGTAATGTCTTCTTTTAAAACTGAGATAAATGACCTTGACACAAAAAAATCTTTGGTAAAACTGTACGAAACCTGTGGGCCTTTTGAATGATTTCATAACGCGCAATTTGGCTACAAAAACATTTCAACTCCTAGCCAACCACTGTGCTGAACAACGTTAAGAACATTCACCATTGGGCGAAACATTATTTCTTTATATGCCTAGACAAGGTCACAACCGTGAGTAGTTTGTGTATTGTGTAAGTAAAAGCCGCAGTCATTTTTATGTATTTCACAGTTACAGGACACCTGTCGGCAAAAGTAGTGGTCGACTGTTGTTGTCAGGCTCTCCAGCGACTTGAACGTCCCATACTCCACGGTGCCCTGGGGGGCTACGAGGCAGGGAAAAGCTTCTCGTACGGCACCGCCGTCACTATCTTGTTGGCAACGCTGAGGAACTCCTGCGACAGCGCGCGTTCCACAGATGGCTTCAGCTCCCCAAAGAACGCCTTGAAGTTGCTGTTGATGGCCGCATTGACGATGTCACCTAGGAGGTAGAAAGAGTGTGCCCATGACGGAGAATTTAGTATGTTGTAGAAAATGTGTGCGCGCGCATCACCGGGGTGCAGCTTGCTTACCCAGAGTCTGCTGGCCGCCGAATAGGTTGTCGAGGTGCAGGGAGCCGCGCCCCACGGCGATCCGCACGGCCAGGGTGTCGTACTTGAGGTAGTCCACGCCGTCACGCTTGGAGACCGTGCCCCGCAGGTGGACGTCGCCCTTGCAGTCCGCTGGAACACGCGATACGATTGTGAATGAGCAGGATGAGGACGACATCCGCTGCTGTCCTCCCCGTGAGCAGGACGAGGTAGGACGCATATATGTCCTTCCCCATGAGAACTGTATGAGCAAGACGGGGATGACAGCCGCATACTCACTCATGTTGCCGGTCAGCTGGCCGGCGCCTCTGACAGGCAGCAGGAACACCCGCCCGTCCACCGTGTAGTCCCCGAGGATGAAGAGCTTGGGTAGCGTGATGGCCATTTCGATGTCGTTCCGAGCCAGATCAACCCTGCGGGCGGAGAGGGTGCCGAGTCAGTACAGAAACGTTTTGGGTGCAACCAACGGCATCCAACGGCAGAAACGCGAGCCGAAAGACTTTCACGTGTCCTAAACTGGAATTTAGTCCACCGTGTGTCAGGGCCACGACACAACAGTATGCTGGGTTGTCTACTTGTTCTGCCAGTAAGTCTGTTAAGTCGTGTCGTAGCCCGGACACCTGACACACGGTAAACTACATTATTCATAATCAAGTTTTGCACTGAAATGCTGAGCAATATTTATCAGTATTTACAGTAGTCCATTGTCGTTTCAGCCACCTGGTAGGAAATCAGTTTGGTAGGATTTCGTTCAACTCGTGTATCAAGTACAATTATTATGTCCAGAATTGTACACCGCGGGCCTTCCCTTGGCACACTCTTGGCACTCGCCTCAGCCTGTTGATCTTGAAGTCGCTGCAGCCGAAGGCCTTGACGTTCCGCGCTCGGATCCGGATGCCGGTCGACTCGCCCACCCTGATCTCGGGGAGGATGAGCGGCTCCAGGGAGGGGACGTTGAAGGCGGGGATGCCTGCGGGGAGAACACAACAGGTCACTCGTAAGCCGAATCACGAGCCGACGCGACAAAGTCCCGCCGCCGCCGGTACCCACCGCGCACGAGGTGCGGCCGCAGCTGCTCGACGGACTTCTTGATGCACTGGTCTACCTGCGGGTCAGTCCGCTTGCAGATCAGGATGAAGTCGGCTGCAAAATAGAAAGCAAAAAACGAGCTGCAGTCGGGCGGGCACGCTTTGGTGCATCAGGGCGCCAACCTCGACGACTTACGGATCGGCACCTCGGCGACCGCGCGGCCGGCGGCGCACAGCAGCGCCAGCGTCAGCGCCACGAGGGCCTGCAGGGCCTGCATGGCGAGCGGGCGGCGGGGCGGTAACGATGTCCTCTGGAAGCTCACCGCAGCTGCTTGTTACCTCGCGACAGGACTGTCAAATATTGTCTGGATTAGGATAAAGTGAGGATGGCGTTGGGCTGGGACTCCATGGCTGGGAGCAATATTATTGCACGCATATGAAACATTTAACTGGTGTGGAGCGCGCCAGGGGTGCCAGCAGGTAGGAGACAAAGTGTTAAGTAATTATGACACCCAACAACTCTGTCCCACTGAGGACGACTTCCCGGCGGACACTTTGGTGCCTTCAATCGGTTGAGTTACAGTGTAGCCTATTGGATCGTCCAGAAAGTACGCCCGCTATTCGCCGTTACGAACCTGCTAAAGTTTAGACTCTGTAAGCTCCCATAACGCCTGGGGGGTAGGCAACATCGTTCGTGCAGGACGTGCGTGCACTGCGGGGTGGCCTACCCGGAATCTCGCAGGCGCCGAGCACCCGTAACTTGCCGAACGAATGTGAGAAGAATTGACGTACTTTTTGAACGAACGCCAGCTTCCCAATGCTCATCTCCCTTTACTGATAAAAGTTAATTGCGACTTAGACCGTAAGTTACTGGACACCCGTAGCACTCTTCCTAGGTAATGTTCGATGTAAAGATATGGTGAATTTCACTGTAAAGTTATAGTGGCTCTTTACTTTAAATCACAGTGACCTGCTCTGCTCACCATAACTTGAAGTGCAGCAGCTGTAACTTACGGTGAAATTCGCCGTACGTTTTCAACAGTGCCATCTCCTCTCACCGCCGCGCCGCCTATGTAATACCCATTCAAACAGTAGCCTTGCCCCCGGCTTTGCGAGCGCTCAGCAATGCCACGACAACCTTATTGTGCGGGGATGATGTGGGGGGGGGGGGCGTAGAATGCCCTCCCAGGTGAGCCGTGTAGCGTGCGACGACACTGGTTCGGCGCGCTCATACTCAGCACGGAAAGGAAAAGGAACAGCACTAAGTAGACGGCGTAGTAGAACCACGTGGCGTGGAACCTTGCTGCTTGGCGCCGGCTGGCCGAGCGAAGCATCGTGACCCGCGGTAAACATTGAGGAGGACCCACCACCGGACGCCGAATAGCGACCGAGACCTTGGCCCTCGCCGCGCCTCGCCCCTCCACGCACCTGCGTACTG